TGGTGAATATAATTATAAAACAATGTAGGTGACAAAAATAAATACTGGAGAGGATCGTCTAATGTAAAAGAATATAGATATTTTAAAGTGATTGGCGAATCAATAAAATTGTTTATAAAACCTTTCTTTCAGTCTCTGAATCTGCCTACTCTAGGCACTGCAGGTAGATGCAATAATGCAGTATTTGTCCTTCTGTGGGTGGCTTAGTTCGCTTAGCAGGATGCTCGCAAGGCTCACCCGTGGTTTAGCATGTGTCAGGATTTCATTCTCTTCTCTGGCTGCACGATGTTCTGCACTGTTTATACCCCACGTTTTGTTCGCTCACTCATCTGCTGAGAGCCGCTGGGCTGCTCACACTCTGTGGCTGCGGTGAATGATGCCGTGAGGAACCTCAGCTCATGGTTTAAAGCACAGTTTGAAAGCTATGACATTGCATGAACCAACATCAATGTCTTCATGCTGTTTTTTTTCAGGTGGGGGAAGCTTTTGTAAAGCACTAGCTGGTAGGGCTGGTCAGCATTTACTACAAAATTCAAATACTCGTTTTCTAAATAGAACTCGGTATCAACTCAGATGCCTCAACCACGCAAAGTCATGTGTAGTGCATCTCCTGCCCTTCCTCCAAGCACAGAGGTAACAGACTTACCGCCCTTAGCGTGTAGGGCCTGGTCATGCATCAGGTTAAATTAAACGGTAATAACAGTTCCACTCTTCACGAGTTTTTACAATTTTAAAAGGATATAGGAACAGCTGCTCCTTATCTGTGGACTTCATTACCTTAAATAATAAAAGTACTGTTTATATGAGTAGCAAAGTACATAGCAGAATTAGGCAGACTTATCGCTTTCCTTCTAAGAAGCAGTTTTATTCATTTCTTTTTTTAAAAAAGTCATTATGTATTGCCCTGCAGCAATCATTCAAATTCCAGCCTGAGAACTAAGAATGTGGCAGGAACGCCAAGGCCAGCCTCAGTTTGGAAGCGGACAACTCGAGTTCTTCTCCATGGGCACCAGACACAGCACAGCAGAGAGAGTGGGAGCAGTCCAAGAGGTTCCCCGGAAATCGACCACACCACCTGCCATCATTTGAGACTCTACGTGCAAAACCTCTGTTCTGATTATTTTACAAGTAGTAAAATGTCCCTAATGAAACAGAGGAAGCATACCCGTGAATATCTGAAGCTGAATAAATGATTTCTCGTGGTCAAAGCCAATTACACAGCAAGAGAAAAGCCACTTTTTGAAGGAAAAAGTCCCAAGCAACCGTAATTCCTCAGCAGTCCGTATGGAATTTGATGTTACTGCAAAGTGTATGACTTTGAAGGGAAAAGATCGATGGAAACCTAAGTCTTCAAGTTCAAGCTTTGTTGTAAATTAAGCTAAAATAAACAAGCAAATAGGAAGCGTTGGGCCCTCCTTGATGTTTCAACATCGTTGTTAATTTGGGCCATTTCACTGAAGAAATGATCCATACATTCTAATGGGGAAAGTCAACCGAGAAGCAAGGAGAAGTTGATGTTTCTGAGTCTCCCTTCTCTCCTTCTTGTCCCAGGTCACCCTCTTCCGACGGCTCCCGCTCAGGACGCCACACGGCCCTCGGTGCCGGAAGCCGTGTCCAACCAGCGTCCTTCTTCCCACGCCTTCCCCCTTGCCTTGGTTTTCTGTTCTCTCTGATGCCTCTCCCTGACTCTCGCTGCTTCTTTCCGTTTTTCCGACGCTCTGTGAGCAGGTTAAGCATGCAAAACCAGTCCTCAGAACCGTTCTTGACCGTTCCCTCTCTTTCATCCCCCATAACTAAGTTCCACCGCCCCTGTGTTGAACTGTGTGTCACACCTGTCATCTGTACTGCCACCAGCCTCATCACCGCGTGCCTGGGTTCAGTTCAAGGGCGTCCACGTGGCGGGTCGCCTTATCTCCCCCCTGCTGAGTCCGCCCTGCCCAACAGCCGGCTTCTGTGTGGTTTCCTTCCAGCAAAACACACAGGCCCCAGATCCAGACCCTTCTGAGTGGCTTTGGAGAGTCTGCACTTGTGAGGGAGTCTCTCAGCAGACAGGAGAGGGCACGGGGCAGGAGGGGGTGGGGCTCTGGGGACCCGGGTTCCAGGCGTGCTGAGTTCACGGCCGTGGGCTAACTGTCTGGTATCTCCAAGCCTGCACAGCCCCATCTATAAAAGGAGGACAACGCTGGTGGCCGCCCCGTCAGACTACCTGAAGATCTCTACAAGACATTCGGTATGAAGAACGCGTAGCCCAGCACCTGGCATGCGGTGAGTGGTCGCCGCGCATTCCCGCGTCACTTCCTCTCCCCGACAGTGTTCGACCCCACCTCTGACCCTGACCCTCTTCCAGGAACGCCCCAACGGTGGACGTTCCGTGAAACCTGCCCTGAGGACAGAGCGCTCAGCTGGCCCCTGACACGACGCCACACAAGACCCTGGGCCCGCACATGCCTTGCACCGTCGGCAGCGACCTGCCAGCTGGATTGGCTCTCACTTATTTTTCTCATTGCTGCCCTAGAGCTGCCCCCTTCCTGGCTTTAGGACACTGTTTCCCTCGCCCCATCCCCACACAGATCCACTCATTCCGGGGGGACAAGACTCAGGCTGAGGGAGAATCGGGCGGAGGAAAAGGACTGGGCTCAAAGCCCTTCTCCAGGTCCCAGTTCAGCTACGAATGTCAAATGCTCGAAAGGTTCACCCTAAAATAGGACCCAGCCCTGAGCAGACCGACTGGAGGGAGCAAAGAGAAGGGAGCGGGGCGGGGGCAGGGGAGCAGAGGGGGCAGGCTGTCAGCAATGATTTAGCCCTCCCATACTGTGTTCTGTGTGGGCGCCCACAGGGTTAGGCAATTGTCTTAGGGATTTCGAAAAACATCCTTATTTCAAAAGGAGGAAGCTGGGGTTAGAGGAGCCACACTGGGTGTGCTGGAGGGCAAAGTTTCAATACCCAGGGTGCAACACCTCTCGGGCAGAGATTTCAACACGGCCGGCATCCTTGGGGACGGGCTGGGCCCTGTCCTCCTGTTTTGATTTTTTTCGCTGGTAGTTGAATTATTAGGAGACAAACATGCTGAAGAATTTAATATCTTACCAAGCAATGTTGATCACCAGACTTCAAATACAGGTGGTTGATTACACCGGAGGAAGATCTTAAGATCTGGTTTTTGTTTACCCTTACCCGAAGACGTGGTTATTGACTTTTAGAGAGACAGGAAGGGAAGGAGACAGAGTGGGAGAGGAACATGAATCAGTTGCGTCTCGCACGTGCCCCGACTGGGGACGGAACCGGCAAACCGGGTAAGCGCCCTGACCGGGAATCGAACCTGCGACCTTTCAGTTTATAAGACGATGCTTCAACCAGCCGAGCCACCCGGGCCAGGGCAATCTTAAGATCTTCGGAGAGATTATTTGGGATGGTCACCTATCCTCTCAAGAGCCCAGACCTACACAAGCACGTGGGTGGCCAGGGTTCGTCTCAGCAACTGTTTTTGCTTTTTCCTCTCGAGCTGGGTGGAGCCTGAGGGCAGCGGCTTCCACAAACCAAAGGATCAAAGGAGAGGCGATGCACGGAGGGGGCCCTGATGGGAGCCGGTGCACCTCCTCCGGCCGCTGGAGAAACGGAAGGTGTGCGGCTCTGGACTGAAGAAATCTGGCTGGACAACCTCAGGTTTCTCCGGGGGAGCGATTGCAGTGATCAGGCCGAGCAAAGGGACTGGAAATTTTAGATTAGTGTCTGGGTGTGCAATCACCATGATCCCCGCCACGGCGGGGGGGTGCGGGGAGAGAGGAAACCCAGCCCCATGCACACCTGTGAGCGCCTCTGCCGGCCTCGGCCAGGCGCTCTGCCTCTGTGGCGATACTGAGATGCGTTTCCAGACCCCCAGGCTGTGACTGCACTTGGAGATGCACGGCAGGCGACCCCTGCTCCCGTCCCCTGGGTCTGACGAAGACCTGGGGCACGCTGTCCCCAGCAACCAGAAACACACTCCCTCGGATGTTCAGGACTGACGACCAACCTGTGCTTGCTCTGAACAGGGGGAGCCCAAGCCCAATGTGGGCAGTTCGTTTTCCATTTTCGAAGTGGGTAGTACAAAAATACCAATTCTGCCCTGGCTGCTGTGGCTCAGTGGACTGAGCTCCAGCCTGTGAACCAAAGGGTCGCAGGTTCAATTCCCAACCAGGGCACATGCCTGGGTTGCCAGCCAGGTCCCCAAGAGGGGGCGCCACAAGAGGCAACTACACACCAATCTTTCTCTCCCGCTTTCTCCCTCCCTTCCCCTCTCTCTGAAAATAAATAAAATGTTTAGAAAGAAACAATTCCATGTGAATATTTTTTACAACCTCACAACACCAAAAGACTAACGTAAATGTCGGTTCAGTCTGTCACTAACGGGAAGCATACCCAGGTCTTCATTGGCGGGCCCAGTAACGGCTCGCTGAGCTCCTTCCAAAAGGAGCTCAGGGCCGCACAGGGTCACACTAATGCCCCTGCCACCAGGCACTCCCCTTCTCCCGGAGGACATACGTGAAGCTCTAAGAAAGCTAAGGCACCTAACTAATCAAAAGCCCAAATGAAGCCCTGGCAGATGTAGCTCAGTGGATTGAGCGCAGACTGTGAACCAAAGCATCACAGGTTCGATTCCCAGTCAGGGCATGTGCCTGGGTTGCAGGCCACGGCCCCCAGCAACCGCACATTGATGTTTCTCTCTCTCTCTCTCTCTCCCCCCCTTCCCTCTCTAAAAATAAATAAATAAAATATTAAAAAAAAAAAGCCCAAATGAATCTTAGCTCCCTGGGAGCCCATGCTTAGCCCTTGCAAACAAACTTTGGTAAATTAAAAAAAAAACATAAAACCTTTTTTATACAATAAAATTGATTTTTGAATTACAGGGACTTCCACGTCTCCCTAGGTGGTAACTCCGGGGCAGGCTGTCTGTACAACGCAGGTACCTACTGGATGGGAGGTGGTCCCGCCCCACCTGCGAGGCGTCCCGCCGTCCTCACCTGCCCTCGTAGCACACGGTGCACCTCCAGACGCGGGTCCTGCCCGGGAACACGCGGCACTCGGAGCACACGCGGTGGCTGCAGCCCTGGCACACGGCCCCCCGGTTCAGCAGCAGCCCCAGCGCGCGCCGGCAGCGGGCGCACGACTTCTCCGCGTACTCCTGGCCCGCTCTCTTCGCGCCTCTCCACCGCAGCTGCTGCAGGCGTGTCTTCAGTTTCCTGCGGCCCAGAGAGTTCAGTAAGAGCTGGCTGCGTGGAAGCTCAGACGCCAGACACCCTCCTCCACGGCCAGGGCCCCACCAGTTCCTCAAGGGTGAGAGAGAAGGGGCTTTGGCGTCCAACCCCCTGCCCCCCCACCAGCCCCAGGCCCCACCACGGCGGTGGAACAAGAGGCTCAGAGGCTTCCTCAGTGGTGGAAGGGAGAGCACCTCGCCTCCCGGGTGGCTGTGAGGGTTGAAAGGCAAAGCATAAACAAGAGGCTTGGCCCGGAGGAGTGAGCTGCTACCTTGATCTAGGTTCTTCCCTTCATGCCCAAAGGGCACTCTGATGGCGAGCAAGAACAGCGAAAGAAGAGAGGGGGGAGGCAAAGCGCAGAAAATGACACTCATTCTAACATGCAAGGCGTGCAAAGACGTGCACACACACAGCGGACATGCCTGCTACCGCCATTAGTTGCCTGATAAAATTATTTCGCTGGTGCTTTGTTTTGCTATTTTTTTATGGGTGCTCCAGCCTCCTTGCCCTAGATAATAGCTCCAGTGCAAAGGGGCCCCCAAGATGCCCCGTTAACCAGAACACTGAAATATCTCTGCTATCTGCGTTTAGAAAAGAGAAGCCAACTCCAAGACGCAGTCTTTGCTGACACCCAAGATGAGGTTTCTAAGTCACCGAAAGATCTTTAATCATCCAAGAAACCGCCACCCCACCCCCCCGACCCCGTGGTCAGGGCGATCCCTTTCTCTGGGGAAGAGAGTGTAAGCACATTCAGAGAGTCTGGGGACACATGGTGAGGACAGATCCCGCTGACCGGGACAGTTCCCATTCCTTAAGCCTTTGGTCGTCCAGAGGTTCATTTTCTGGGTGCACTGGTCCTGGCAGACTCTGGAAGAGTCCTGCCCTTGAAGACAAACCAACAGCCAAAGCCTGACCCACGGCTTTGCTTCCAGGCCTTGAGGCAGGAGGCAGCGCAGGAAGAACTCTGAGACTGCAACACTGTCGCTGGCCAGCATCTAGCACCCTGGTTGCCAGGAAACGCCTTTTACCAATTAGGTGGAATAAACAGTAAACCGAGGCAGGGAGGAGGAAGGAGACAAGTCTCACACGCTAACTCAGCTGTCCTGAGCCTGGTCTGATAATATCACCAGGAGTTCCAACATCACAAGAAACACCATGTTAGCAAGAAGGAAGGGAAGTCCTTGAAATTCCATGTAACATTTCCACTATCTGGGGAAGAAAGCTTTGAAACTGTGCTCTCATCCCAAGGCCTGAATGTGGGAGAGGGTCCCCGGTGCCCAGAGAAAAAGCCCATAAAACAACTTTGGTGAATTGCCTACCTTTGGTCACTATCTGTTTTACGAGATAGTCCCTGATGCTTGCAGAAAAAGCCCATAAATAACTCTGGAAAGTGCCCCAAATTTAATTAACTGCCTCCAGTCACCTATTTGTTTTACAACAGGATGACCAAATGGAGACTGGAGCAAGATAAGACAGACCCCATTTATCCCTGAGTTTGGGTAGTCACGTTCCCCCAGGAAAGCTGGCGCCACATTTACCCGTCAATCAATGTGTGACTTTTTTCCCTCCAATCCTACCAGCTACATAAGTCCTGAGAACAAAGAACTCACTTTCTCACTCTCTCTCTGGGGGGCTCTTGGCTCTTGGGCCACAGGGCCTCTGGCCACCCGGCCTCAGGCTGCCCAGGGGCTCGCCACCCTGGTCTCCAGGCTCTCTTGCTTTCCTCACCCTGCTTTGCCCTGAAACTTTGCCTTTCACCCCCCACTCTACCCGGTCCTGTTCTCTTCCATGGAAACGGGCCACTAATAAACTGATTACACACTACTAGATTTGCTGATATGTGATTCTTTACATGCGTCAGCAAGAAGAACCGGGTCTCTCCCGTCAACAGCCTCAAGTCCTCCGGGAACACGGACAAACAAAGCCACAGCAGCTGTTTACTCTCCTGAGTCTGTTTCGAGACGGACGACAGTGGACAGTGGACAGCGTTTGGGCACAGCCCAGCCCTGCTTTATCAAATGTTAACGAACACCCCACAGCTCTGCGGCCGGGAGACGAGGAGCAAAGCCGCTCCCTATTGACAAACCAGCAGGAACAGGCCCGGCAGGTTCCTGTCTTGCTCTCCCCTTTCCTCGCAGCCAACCTGGAAGCCAAAGAAGCCCAAGCAAGCAAAAAAAAAAAAAAAAAAGGAGGGAGAGAGAGAAATGGATTCTAGCAGATAAACTGTTTCTAAGCTGCTTTTTTGCTTCTCTTTGTGCCTTCCGGCATCACCAAAGATAACCTAGGAAACCCCAAGCTGGAGGGCTTGCCCCGAAGCCTGCGCAGGAGCCTGGCAGTGGCCCCAGAGTCACTCATGCAAAGTGGGCAAATCCATCACAAAAAAGAAGGTCCTCTCGCCCCACCGCCCGTCACTGGGACGTAGCAGGGCAGAGGCTGAGGGGAGTAAGCGAGGGGTCACAGAGCCAGCTGAAGTTCCTGGGAGCGGGCTCCCAGCAGAAAAGCCAGAAGCCCATGGGATGTCCCCCACCCCCCAACTCCGGCCGAGGGACAGCATACCGTATCCTCTCCTCCTCGACGTTCTGAACGGCCCGGTCTCGGTACAGGACCGGGAGGATCACCTCCCACTCCGACTCCTGGAAGGAGCTCAGGCTGGCGTCTTGGGCCATTTCCCTCTGGTTCCTGAGGCCCCAGGCGACGTTTCACTCCATGAGTGCACGCGCGTCCCCGTGTTTGAGCGCGGAGTCCGGCAGCAACCGCACGTGCTCAGCAGCACTCTGCTCCTATCTCCCTGGCCACCGTGTGGCCTGTGGCTCTTTCCTCCCCTTTTTTCACTGTGTCACACTGCTCAGCAGAGGGAGCCCCAAAAGGCCGCTGTCCCACTGTCGGAGGCTCCGAGAGCCTCAAGCCGCCCGGGAGGCGGTGTCACCAGGCCCGGCCCCGGCCTCTGACATCCGTCTGGAACAAAAGCGTGTCTTCTTCTGAGGCCGTGCCAGAGATCGCTCTGAGTGATGCCTGGGTCCAGACGGTTCGCTGCTGCGGAGCGGAAGGGGCCTCCAACCCGAGGGGCCTGGGGAACAGCGACGGGGAGAGATCCAGGGACTCACAGGAGGTAATCTTCCCCTTTGGGCATGTTTAGGGCCCCAGGGAGGCCACGCACAGCCCAGCCCAGCCGGCTCAAAGCCTGCAGAAAAGACAATAAAAACAGCATCTGTTTCCCTGGCCCGAGAGTGGCTGCAGCGTTATTTCAGAAAAGACAGAATGTTCTCCACGGACAGACGTTTGCATTTTCTCCCATGGTGACATAATACGATTTTACATTTTATTAAATTGGTCTTCCCATGTTTCTAAAAGCCTCAGTTCCCAAACTTGGATTTTCCTAGTCTGGAGTCTGTGCCTCCAGGGATTGGACATACCAAGGTCTGGGTTTCATGTGCACCCTCGTACCTAAAAACACGTTAGCAGGACAAGCCCTCCACTGCTAGCTGCCATCTTCACAATTAACTCGGAAACCCCCAAAACTGACTGTTTCGAGAGGTGTGAAGGGACGTCGGGCTGCCCGTGCGTGCAGCCCCCTTTCTGTTTAGTGCTAATTGAAAGCACTTATTTTCCTACTTATTTCCCTAATCAGTGACGTCGGGCGGCCATCACCTTCAATCTGTCCCTCCCCCAACCAAGGAGGTGGCTGTGGGTTGATAAAACCCTGGGCAGATGCGGAATGATGAAATGCAGAGGTGGTAGCCGATGGAATCAATATACTGTCTAGGATGCCATTTTGTTATCCAATTGACGTGAACCCCTTAGTCCCAAGATTTCCTTTCATTGCTTGAGAGGCTCAACGCCCTTTGTTGAGCTTCAGAAAAACCCACACTCCGTTGCTTTATGGACCACAGCCATAGTGAGAGGTTCATGACGTCTGAAGGGACCCTTCTCTCTCTTTTTTAAAATTTTTAAAAAATATTTTTTAAGATTTTATTTATTTATTCTTAGAGAGGGAAGGGAGGGAGAAAGAGAGAGAGAGAGAGAGAGAAACATCAATGTGCGGTTGCTGGGGGTCATGGCCTGCAACCCAGGCATGTGCCCTGGCTGGGAATCGAACCTGCGACACTTTGGTTCACAACCCACGCTCAATCCACTGAGCTACATCTGCCAGGGCTATGGACCCTTCTCTTTAAACGGTGCTTCTTAACCTCGTTTTTCTAATCTTTGTGCCAAAAGACGGATAACCTTGTGCATTTTAATGCATAAAATAAGACACACTGAGTTACAAAGAGAATCCATTATACTGAACTATTTTTAAAAATTGTACTAGAGTCATGTATGTGTCCGTCGACGCCCGAAACGAGAGCCAGCAGCCATCTCCCAGCGGCGGCGGCAATCTCAGAGCAGGGAAGATCGCAGACAGCATTCTGAGATGCCCGTGACATTCCACGGGGCGTGAAAAGATCTGATTCCTATTGGCAACCATCACAAGTCCCGCTGGTTCGCCGTGGTTCAATGCCTTTCATTCATAATGGAAGGAAATGCTAAATTTCAGAGGTCAATAGGGAGGTCATTCTTTTTCTTCCGTCCAAGTTCATGGACTTAGAGGCTAAGGTAAGGACTCTTCTGGTTGTCGGTGGTGTCTCAGTTGTAAGGGAAAGTTAAAATCCATCCCTCACCCCAGGGCAGAGCTGCCTGAGGAGCAGGAAGACCCTGAGCCCAGAGTACGGCTGCTCTCGGCCTTGGGTCTCCCAAAAGCCCTCGCAGGCGTCTGCCCTCAAAAGGCTTCCTGTCTAGACGCTGGGGAAACGACAAAGTGAGGAGGACGTGCTGGCTCTGCGTCAGCACGGCTGGTGACGACGCACTGGGCCACCAGGGGCAGAGCCTCGTCCCTCCTCGGCCCCCAGTTTCTGGAGGGACAGATGGCACTAGCGGATCTTGGTTCCCCGAGCTTCCCAGTCCCTGGGACGAGGAAAGTGACGTGAACCGGCATGCAGTCGGTGCAGAGGGGCAAGGCGCCCATCAGCCGTCACGCCACCAATGTGGAGTCTGTTTCTTCCAAACTTGCCCTTGATTCTCCCTGTTTTCTTCTCATTTCTACTCTGGGAACAATGCTAACGGACCAAGAATTACGTGGTTTGTTACCCAGTTTGTCAGATTGTCAAGTATTTTATTTTATTATTTATTTTTTAAAAGACTTTATTTATTTATTTTTATATTTTTTAAAGATTTTATTTATTTTTAGAGAGGGAAGGGAGAGAGAGAGAGAGAGAGAAACATCAATGTGCGGTTGCTGGGGGTCATGGCCTGCAACCCAGGCATGTGCCCTGACTGGGAATCAAACCTGCGACACTTTGGTTTGCAGCCCGTGCTCAATCCACTGAGCTACGCCAGCCAGGGCCTATTTATTTATTTTTAGAGAGAATGGAAGGGATGGGGAAAGAGAGGAAGAGAAACATCAATGTGTGGTTGCCTCTCATGTGCCCCCTACTGGGGACCTGGCCTGCAACTCAGGCATGAACCCGGACTGGGAATCGAACTGGTGACCTTGTGAGTTCACCAGTGTGGCACTCAATCCACTGAGCCACACCAGCCAGGGCTGATTCTCATGTATTTTAAACGAAGATTTTTGCACTGGGCTCGACACAGGCGATCTGTGCACCGAGCTTCTGTTCACACGGCTTCTGTGCTGCACAGGCCGGCTCTGGGCTTCGCGCCTCAGCTGGGCAGGGCTGACGCCGCAGCGGGCTGGACGGGACGACCGAGTGCACTCCCTGGGGAACCCCGGAGCGCTCACGTGCTCACTCCTTCAGACGGCTGCGTCTTACCCAGGTCATTGAAGCTCAGGATTCAATGACCGTCAGAAAACGTGACCCCAGCTCTGCCAAATCCATGCCTGGGGGCCTGAGCGCCCTTTTCACGGACTAGTGGCAACTCGCCCTTCCCTTAGTGGCCATCCCTGCCACCCACAGACAAGTGAAATGCAGTTCATACATTCAGTAAGTGTTAAGCACCTTTCGAGTGCCAGGCGCTGCTCAGGGGCTTAGGGGCCGTGACTGGGAACGCACACCCAACACCCCTTCTGACAAGAATACGCGGCAGTTTACAATAAAAGCGCATAGAAGGCACATTCAAATAAAGTCAGAGGAACAGCAGCGGCCAGAGTGAAAAACCACTGTACTTGAGTGTTAGCTGAGCTGCCTAGTAACCAAAGCAAAGCAACGAAACGAAACATCGCAGCGTGGTCTGCAGCTCCGACGAACTGAGAACAAGAGCAACGCTCTCGAGGCGAGAACCGCTCACAGACCGAGGACACAGAGCTGTCTGAGTGCAGACACCTGGCAGCTTTGCCGTCTCCCAACACGGGTCACGTAACGAGCCCCGTTACGGTCTTGTAATGCACCCTCCTTTTATTCCCACTCCTTCACAACGATGACACTGCCATCATCATCAGTGCAGACAGGTTATATTATACCCTGTATCTAACCTGTCCTTCCAGTGAAAGGCGACCTACCAGCTTTTCCTATAAAGAGAGAACCTTGGAGCCCTGGCTGGCGTAGCTCAGTGGATTGAGCGCGGGCTGCAAACCAAAGTGTCGCAGGTTCGATTCCCAGCCAGGGCACATGTCTGGGTTGCAGGCCATGACCCCCAGCAACCGCACATTGATGTTTCTCTCTCTCTCTTTCTCCCTCCCTTCCCTCTCTAAAAAATAAAATAAAATATTTTTTTAAAAAAGAGAGAGAACCTTGGGTCTCACAATGTATGAACTGCTGCATTAGAGGATCCGACCATTCCTGAGGTCATGCACGAATGAAGCTGTACCTCTCCCTTGTTCACTCTTCAACAGGCTGCCGGTTCGTGGGGGGATGACAAGGGCAGAGGGAGGGCTGGCTGCTGCTGTTGTGGGTTGTGTTGCACACTCGGCTGCCCCGTGAGTGTGGTCCTTCACGGAGCCCCTGGTCTGGTTTCCAGGGGATAACCAAGGGCTCAGAATTCCTCTTTCAGTAGAAATGTTGTCCGTAAGTTCAGCTGCACCTTCCGATCCCGCCACACAGAGCGCGGGGCCACTCCCCCACCTGATCCGGACAGACTGCTGACGCGGAGACGCTCCCCTGTGATCCGCCTTCCAAACTGCCCAGAAGTGAGTCCCTGAACCCATTCCTCCCACACGGTCTGTTTATCCACGACAAGGTGCCCGCGATCCATGGCCATCGTGCACTTTGTGTCATTTTTTGAAGTTGTGTTGTTGTTGTTTAGTGAACTTCTCAGTTCATGCGGGTCTCTAGGGTTGCAGGCGGAGTCGGTCAGGAAGCAGGTAGGCCCGCGGTAAACACCAGGACAGTGGGAGAGCTTCCGTCCACCTCCGGGCATCCGCAGGGTAAGGCGACCTTTGCAGGCTCCATGTCTGGTCACCTGTGCTAGCTGGACAGTGGAAACCACGCTGAGTTGTTTTTATAGTCTTGAAAACATGGGTAAAACAAATACCCTTCTCTCTCGGATGCTTTCAGTGTCCGTGCTGTTAGGGAGCTGCAGACGGCAGCTGTGCAGGGATTCCAGGCACCTGATCTGCGTGATCGGGCGCGGTCCCCGGGCTGTGCCGCGTCACACTGTCCGGGACGACAGCGAGGAGCACAGATGGCATTCGAAGTGCTCACGAAGTCGTGACAGGTCAGCTGGCCCGGTCCGGAGCTGGCTGTGCCCAATAGCGGGCACTCGGATGGCCACAGGCAACCGGGGGAGCAGGAGTGACGGGACCCATGGACAGGGAGACCCAGGGACACTCGGCTCAGGACAGACAGGACAGGAAAATGTTCGTGGCACAGGTGACTCCCGCTGAGCAGCGTGGGCGGAGCGGGCTGGGTCCGAGGCACGGGAAGGAGGCCGGGACGTCTCCGGGGTGAGGGACGGTAAACTTAACAATGCGGAGGCAGGGCTGTGTCATCCTCCCTCCGGTGCGGGGGCCCGGGTGCTCCAGAGCCCAGAAACGAGCCTGAAGCATGACCGTGGCACCGCCGGCGCCCTCCCTGACTCGTGTCTTCCAGCTCCTCCACCCTCGGCTCCCACACAGCAGCCAATGCTCCCGTGTTGAACGCACTCGGGACCGCCCTGAGAACACATCGCGTACTTCTCCTTTTCCTCGCCTCTGCTCCTGTCCCCCCTGCTGCCTGTCCCGAAACCCCATTTGCTGGGACGCAGAGCGGGGCGGTTGGGGAACAAGGCTCAGAGCCCGGCTGTCGGGCGTGCAGTCCCGCTCTGCCCCATGCCGAGGACGGAGACGCTGGCCCCGGCCTCCGGCCCTTGAGTGACTCCCTTCTCTATAAAGGAGAGAGGATTGCACACCCATTTCTTAGAGCCGTTGTGAGGGCTAACTGTGTGGACACACACAGAGCACTTCGGTCAGAGTGGCGAGCGTGTAATGAGCTGTCGGTAACACAGAGAACCGATTGGCGGCTGTCAGAGGGGGGCGGGGGGCGAAATTCGTGAAGGGGGTCAAAATATAAATTTGCAGGTATACTATAAGTAAGTCACGGGGACATAATGTACAGCCTGACAACCATGGTTAAAAATGCCATGTGGTGTATTTGAAGGTTGCAAAGAGAGTAGGTCTCAAAAGTTCTCACCACAAGAAGAAAGTTCTGTAACTCTGATGAGAATTAACGAGACTTACTGCCGTGATCATTTTGCAACACACAGTACTGTATCACTGTGTTGCACACCTGAAACTCACATGATGTCGCATGTCAGTTACACCTCAATTAAACAATAAGCAGCCCATGAACGTTAAGTGTTGAAATGTAAAATGGGTCATTATTGTTAGTCATAGTATCATCATTGTGAGTGTTATCTTTCAAGGCCCAGATTAATTGTGATCTACTCTGGGAACTTTCTCTTCATTTCCCACCACAATTCCTCGCCCCTTCCCTGTAACTCCTCCTACTTTGCATGTTTCTCTATTGTGGCCCGCACTTCATTCCCTCTTGTATTCACGTGGCGACCTCGGGTCTTGGGGATCCCTCACCCCCCAGCAAGCAGGTGCCGAAGGTCTGGCTTGGGTTGAGAAACCCGGTGACCACGGTGACACCCGGGGGAGCTTGCCAAAGCAGGAAGCAGACTTCAAGCAGACGAGGAAGTGAGGATTGCCAGGTGAGCGAGCGAGTGCCCCAAGCTTCTGCCCCCAGGAATCCGACAGCCCGGGACAAGTGGGGGCAGGCAGGCGTTGCCGAATGGCAGAAGCACGCCCGGAAGCACTTTCACGATCTCGCGCAGAAACCCACGGCCTCAGAGCCGGGTGGTACAGCCTCCTGGATGTGTTCTTCTGTGACTGTCTCCCGTGCTGTGACCCACGCGCTGGGGTCAGGCTCCACCCTCGCCCCCACGGCGCCAAGGGCAGCCCTCACCTCCTTTTTCCACCCCCCTTTTGTCATTTCATAACGGCGGCACCCTTTGCATTAGGGCAGTCCATCCGGTCGTCCAAGTTCAGTTAGCGATGAAAGCGTAAGTGACACCTACACCTCAGCACCGCTCCGGAGGGGAAAGCCCCCTCCCTCAGCCACTTAGAGACACACCCCACACCAAACCGCCCCGTCTCCGCGTGTCTCCGTGGCTCGGGCGTTGGCCTGGGGTCAAACACCGGTTCCAGAACCATCTCGGGCAGCGAGAGCAGCGGCTGGAACGGAGCAAGCAGGACTTGGAAGCACTGGATTCAGCAGAGGGGACGCCGCCGAGTGTGGCTGGGAGGGGACGTGAACGTCCCCCACGAGACGGACAGCAGTGTGAACGTCTCACCTAACGTGTCACAGGGAGTGCTTCGGTGTGACAGTGTTACGTCACAGAACCACATGCTTAGGAGTTTGTAAGGAAGGACTTCTAGGTAATGAAACAGGGGCGTTATTTGTGCCGGACCCTGCGGCCTCCTGGTCACTCGGTCCTTCCCTTCAGGAAGACCCCGGGCAGGAAGCCGGGCCGGGTGCTGGGACTGATAGGGTCGCGGCCCGCAGGGTGGGGGGTGCCCTTCCAACCCCAGCGTGCACTTCCCTGCACGCTCTCCCGTGTGGGCTGCACGCAGACACACCGGGCCCAGGGGAACGGGGGCCTCCGCACAGACCCCGTGTGACTCCGGTGTTCAGTCCATCGGCTCAACCGCCCCAGTTGCCTGGGCCTGCCGGGGCCAAGCCCGTGGCGGGCCTTGAGGGCCCAAAACAAGACCCAGTCTCTGCATTCGGGGAGTTCGAGTTCCAGCCAGAAAAGAAAAGACAGCTCGGTGGGAAGAGCAGAAAACCCCCACCGCTCCCCGGAGAGGGCGGGTGCTGGGGGGGGTTGGGGGGGTTGGGGGGGTGGGGAGGCTTCCCTCTCTCCAGAGCAGCCAGCGGAAGTGGCCGGGGGTCTGGGCGGGCGCCCCCGGGGGAGGAACGGGTGGGACCACCTTCCCCGGGGACACAAATAGCCCACCACCTGCTGCATTCTGAAACCGCTTGCTTTCCTCCCTCAACCCGAGAGGGAGGCACGCCTGTGGCTTTCAGACCCGGCAAGGGGGGCTGTGCCAGAAGAGCAGGCGGAGGGTGAAGCAGGGAGGGGAAGTGAACTCGAGACCTGCAGGCTGTCGTCTCCCTTCCTTTCTCCCAGGGAGCCGTCGCCTCTGATCGGAGGAAGGAGATCAGAGGGAAGAGAGCCCTCCTCCCGTGATGGAGCGAAGTGACACTGTGACAGGTGGGAAGGGGGCAGGCAGCTGCGGCCGCCTGTGTGTGAACAGGCCCATCATCATCATCACCATCATCATCATCATCACCATCATCATCATCGCAGCCTGGGCTGCAGGGGAAGCTACAGACCGTCCTCGAAGCTGGGAAGCCACAGCACTGCAGCGGCTCCCAGCGCCGGTCCCCTGGGGCGGCCGCCCCCGCTGCCATGGGCCTCACCACAATGGTTTCCTCGAGCAGCTGCCGCTCAGAGCCCAGCCGCGCACACGGGGGACGGTCCAGGGGCTGCAGCGGCCCTCAGGCGCTGCTGCAAACGCTGAAGGCAGGAGGTGCGTGGAGACCAGCTCTCTGCACCTGAAGTTACAGCCCAGCCGGGCTCAAACTGCCGGGCTCGGCGGATACACCTTGGCACAGGTGAGACGACACGCACTCGCGTCCACCTGGAAGTCCGAGCCCAGATGCAGGTGTGCCCTCGTGAGTTCCTTTCCTCCCCCGTGACCTCACGGGAGGAGGGCGTTCTGCAAGCCGGGAGCTCCGGCCCCGCACCCCGCACCCCGCACCCGCGAGGCCCCAGCCCAGGGCCGGCACCTGGCTCGGACTGGTTTTCTGAGAGAATTCTGCACAAGCTCTACTGGCTTCGGGGCCCTCAGACTCTGCCCATGAGCTATGAAGTTGCATGGACGTGGGTTGGAGCCGGAAAACGGGACCCTGCCCGAGACAGCAGAACGTGGACAGACATGTCACCCCGAAAACGCTCTGCAGGTGCACTGGGGGCTCCATCACTATGGACTCTCCCCCCGTCAGGCAGCCATCCTGCCACCCAGCCAAACCGAACCAAGCAAAAAAAAAAAAACCACCCCAAAACTCTATTTTTAGAATAAAACACTATCACGGAAATAAAACACTGTCAGAGAAGTGCACGATGCTCATGGCTTAAACTTGACATCTTCTTATGGAAGGCTAAAGAAATGAGAATTCACATGGTGCTGTAGGCACTGCTGCTGACAGTCACACCTTTTTAGTGCCAGCAGCTACGGTTTATTTAGTGCGTACTCTGGGCCAGGCCGTGCGGGGGGTGCTCTACGTACATTGCCTCGATCCTCATGTCAGCGTACATCGTGGAGGGAGTACACCCCTTTTACAGATGAGAACAGAAAGGCTTGGAGAGATCACGTAATTTCCCTGAAGTCACATTCTAATCTGGGTCTGTTTAACTCTAAAGCTTTATGCTTTGTTTAGGCAGACAAGTTAAGAAGTTAGAATCTAAGCCCTGGCTGGCGTAGCTCAGTGGATTGAGCACGGGCCGGGAACCAAAGTGTCCCAGATTCGATTCCCAGCCAGGGTACATGCCTGGGTTGCAGGCCATGACCCCCAGCAACTGCACATTGATGTTTCTCTCTCTCTCTCTCTATCTCCCTCCCTTCCCTCTCTAAAAATAAAATAAATAAAATCTTTAAAAAAAAGGAAGTTAGAATCTCACACTACCTTGACTGGATCATTTTTTCTACACTAATTCCAACTTAATAAACCCTTAATAGCTGATGTGCTTTTTCCTCTCATAATCCCTCCTCTTGCCACGAAATTTGGGTGTTGAGGAAGCTTAATTGAAAGAAATTTAAATTAAACGCCAGCTAATTTAATTTTTCATGTTAAAATTACATTTCTGTTCCTTCTCCAAATGGAAGATTATGGGTGACCCAAACCAGTAGATCCAGAGCAGGACACAATAAACTATTCACACAAAAACTTACAAACCAAAGTAGAAACTAAACATTGTGTCACCTCCTTAAAGAAATTCACACCATATAGCTTTTGGATAGCATTTTTTGGTTTTGTTCTGGTTGGTTTGTTTTTAACTAACTCTCAAGTACCCCTCTCCATTTCACTTAAATCATTATTACCCTGAATTTTAAATGTATGCTATTCAATAAAAGCATGTCACCCTTTGTCTCATTTACCACTGTTTCTGTTTCCCATCTTCTAAAGTCACCAGTCTAAAAAAAGTTACCATAAATGTAGCCCCCACTCACGCCACCCCCAGAACCACCTGCCCGGACGGCCGCACCTGGGTGCTCAGCCTACCTTGGAATCAGCTTCATGGGGGAGAGGCCAGGACAGTCTGTTCTGAAGAGAAGGAAGTCGACTTTTCTCTGTGTTAGAACAACTGACGTGTTTCTCTTTCCTTCCTGTTGGGCATGAGGCTGGCCCCGGGTGCCTCTGCGGCTGCCCCACACCACCAAGGACCCCGAGAACAAAGCCCCCCCCAAACCACACGCAGGAGCTCTCACACACCGACAGCTCACATGCTCGTGAGAGGAAAGGCCACGCTGCCGCTGCTTGACGTTGCTACTGAAATGTTGCACCCCCGCTGAGAAGCGCCCCCCCCCCAGATGGCAGAGGCTCTGAATATTCAGTGTTTCCACACTCGCGGGGGTGTCACAGAAACCTCTGGTGTGAATGGCGGACCACACCTCCAACGACAGCCGCCAACTCAGCAATCGCTTTGGAACAGGGCTAAACGTCGCCGGAGTTCAACACACACACGGAACATGACACAAAGCACAAGCGTGGCTTGGTACCGTTTCCCAAACTGAACACACTTCCATCAAGACACTGAGCTTTGCCTGCCGAGGTCCAGCCGCAGCGGGGTCCAGGGGTTCCTGAAAGGTGGGTAAGGCGTCGGGGGTGGGAGACGGACGACAACACGCCTCAGAGGACGGTGATGCTCTGTTCCGTTCATTGCAAGTACAAGCAGGTTTTTATACTTTCATTTTTAGCAGTGATTGACATTTGCGATTAGGTAAAGCAGAAAAAAATTAATACAAAGGTAACCAGGAAAAATACAAATATTCCCATAGATTCAGTTATATTAAACAAAGATTATTTTGACCAGGAGAGCCATAAATCAGACAATTAGAAATAGCTGTACGTACAGAGTTTGAATGTCTTATTGTTTATTAAAGTTCTCAGAATTTGTCATGGGGCAAAAGGATACGCTAATTGAATAGAGGTTATAGGAAATTTATTATAAGGCCTTTGTGATGTCTAACTTACCTGTTTACCTTTTCTGTCTAAAATATTTCTCTATGTACCATAGACTCTAACTCCCTGGTAACTGTTTCTACGTGCTTAATTTATAATAGTTAACCAGCTTTTCTTATTTCTTTGCCTGTCTAATTCTATTTGATATATACTCCTATTCAAGGTAAAGGCGGGGCTGTTACTCCAACAACTTTTAGACATTCAGGGGCTATTTCATTAGAGGGGATTTTATTCCTTGGTCAAGAAATTATTTTATACAACTTCATTGGAATTATGCAAATCAATAAACCGGAGATACAGATATGTAACAATCCCACCACCTTTTAATCTCCAAAACAAACAGGTAAGGAGAGATAAACAGGAAATTCAGCTACAATAAACTCTTTTTATTTCTTAGTTAATAAACACCAGGGAGGTCTGCTTCGAGCTAGCCTTTCCATGAAATTTAGACTATTATAAGGCACTTGAACTTCATCCTTACTGACCATTCTAATGTCACCCTCATTATATGCTCCTGTATAAGGCAATGGGAGATCTGGAACCCTCTGGAGACCATTAGCTCCTTTTTGGGGGGATACCATAATTTGCCAATAATCTAATATGCTACCCAGGGGTATCCCTGGGCTGTGGGTAAGGGTCTATATAGTTTCTTCTTGTTTTCTAGAAAGACTCTTTGTATCTATGGGTAAGGAACAGGCATGGGAAAGTCCGCCAATAATTCAACCTATTGTAACTGATTTATTAATTCTTTTATGGGAATAATCGGGGATAATTTCTTACTCAGGTTTATAAACACCTTATTTAAAACAATCTGGGCATGATTCAATAGTCTAGGGAGAACTAGTTGTCCCTTCAGAATTTCCCTCAAAATCAATCATTGACTCTTTTCTAGCCTCTTTCTTCTCATGTCCTGTTCTTAGGGGAGTCAGGGTACAAAGTAAGACCATGATTAGTCTTAGCAAGGAAATCATTAAAAGCAATCCCCAGAAAAATCACCGCCCCCCTTTGTATGCCACGCTCTCTTCCAGGAAGATGGATTCCTTGAATGCCCTCTTTCCATGTTCAGATCTTGTCAAAAAACATGGTTGGAAGAGGGCGTGGCATTTGCCAGCATCCTGGAAGTTCTCACTGGAGGACTGGGCTTTATTGTATGACCATCAGAAAAAATCCATCTATTGTGGTATTGACGGGCATTGGTGGGATGCCTCATTTTTGGCTGTAATGAACAGCGTAGCTGCAAACACTCTCCCGTAGTCTCTTGGTTGAGTGTCCACATGTGTTTCTGTCGGTGACGCGCCTGGGAGTGGCATGGCCGTGTCATAGGTCAGACACATGTGTGATGTCTGTAGATGCTGCCCACACTTTTCCCGAGTGGTCGTTCTCACACCCCTCACCAACACTTCACAGTGTCTGCCTTTCTGCCTTCGCCTACCCCGGTGGCTCCGTAGGGCATCACGGCTTTAATTTCATGTCCCCGGTGATCTGTGTAGCTGAGTAATCTGAGCCTCATTCTACAGGTTTCTTGGTCACTTGGAGATCTGCTTTGATGCTGGGCTTGCTCAAGTGCTTTGCCTGCTACCAGGTTACCTGTCTTTCTGATAGTGATTTGTAGAAGTTTTTAGATACTCGGGACATGAGTGCTGTGTCAGATGTTTATATTGCCGACATGCTTTTCCCACTCCGTGAACTGGTTTCTTCATTCCCTTCAGGGGTTCTTTTGAGGGTCCAGACTCCCTCTTGAGGGTGAACTAGTGTGGCCTCCAACGGAGAAGGCGTGATTCGGGTGGCGGGTGGACGCTGCGTGGCCCCGGGGTCCCTCAAGCCCCCTGAGCGCTCCTGGAAGCTGGCCTCCTCCTCTGTACGCGCGGCTCCCTGGGACCACCCCTTTGGCTCTGGGGGTCTGAAACCTCACTCTTCCCTGGCCGGTGGGGTGTGGGGGACCACAGCTCGAGATGGTGACTTCCGTCAGGGGAGAAGCAGGAGTGGGCGGGAGGGGGTGGTGGGCTGGGAAGGGCTAGAATGACAAAAGGGAGGACGGAGTTAAGGGGGCAAGTTCTGGGCTGAGACCGTCCGGACCGACCCTGAGCAAACCACCCACCTCTCTGAGCCTGCTTCCTGGTGCGGGTCCCAGGGCTCCGCTCCCAGTTCAGAGTTCACTCAACTCACTCACGAGTGTTGAAGGTGCATCGACTGGACTAGGTCAGGCATGGCCAGTGATCATAGGTCCCGGGCCTAAGAGGATCCTTAATAAATAATACTAAGTATTATTACTTTGTAACATAAGATATTGAATAAATCCATTCAGGAATGTTCGGGGAAAAGTGTTTTAGAAATGAGGGTAAACCGGAATAATGACTAGCTAAGGCTGTTGTAATGAACACAACAGACTGGAGAGAGTTAAATAACAGAAATTCATTTCCTCATAATTCTGAGGCTTAAAGACCGCGGTATTGGCAGGGTTGATTCTTCCGAGAATGTCTCCCCCTTATCTGCGTCCAAATCTCCTTTTCTGAGAAGGACACAGTCATTTGGAAGTCATGTGTTTGGAAGTCATTTAACACCTTTAAAAAAATACTTTATGTATTTTTAGAGAGAGGGGGAAGGAAGGAGAGAAACATCAGTGGTTGTGGTTGCCTCTCATGCGCCCCCTACTGGGGGCCTGACCTGGCCCGCAACGCAGGCATGTGCCTTGACTGGGAATCAAGCCAGTGACCCTTCGGTTCGCAGGCCAGCACTCAGTCCACTGAACCACACCAGCCGGGGCTTAACGTAACACCTTTTTACAGAGATTTCCTTTATTTATTTTTAGAGAGCGGGAAAGGGAGGGAGAAAGAAAGGGAGAAATATGGATTGGTTGCCTCTCCCACGCCCCCAACCGAGGACCTGGCCTGCACCCCAGGCATGGGCCCTGGCCGGGAACCGCACCAGCCACCTTTCGATCTGTGGGACGATGCCCAACCCGCTGAGCCACACCAGTCGAGGCTAACTTAACACCTCTTCAAAGGTCCCGTTTCAAAATACGGAATGTCAGTCACATCCTGAGGTACTGGTGGTTACAACGTCCACATTGAAAGTTTGGAAGGGCCGTAATTCAGATCATAACAGAATATACCAAAAAATATTTGGAACTTCTGGGTGTTTTTTTTTTTAAACTAAAACTTAAGCTTTATTGTTTAGGAAATGGGTTCCTAGCGTAATACATCGCCGTTGAAATACACACGCCTCTGCGTTACACACTCAGAAGCTGTTCCTGGGCGCCTGGCCCAGCGGCAGCACCGGTACACGTGGCTCGTCTCCTCCCACAACCACGTCAAAGCCACAGCGGAGTTACAGGACCACTGCCGCTCAGAACCATCAGAAATCGAGGTGAATGAAAGTCTAACAGTGACGGAATCAAAGACACCACATCCATCCAGACTGGTAGGAGGGGCGGAGACGCGGGATGGGCTGGTCCCACATCCACGTGTGGTGAATAATCAGGAGGGAAATTCCGGGAGCAAGGAGTCCCAGCCCCACACCACGCTCCCCAGCCCGGGGTTCCAGTGCCAGGAAGATAAGTCCCCACAACCACTGGCTGCAAAAATTAGCAGGGATTAGGTCAGAGGAAGAAACTTTGAGTCCCAAGCAGATCCTCTTAAAGAACCTACACATGAACCTACTCAGACTCACTCCCTCTGGGCCCCAGCACTGGGGTGGCAGCTGGAAAGGCACCAGGGGTATACAGGGAGGAACTGAGGTGTCTGGCGTCAAGGCAAGAGCTGAGGGACAGCTTTCTCCAGACAAAGGTGGGCAGAGGCCATTGTCCCTTTTCTGAACCCTCCCCGCCCACAGAGCCACAGAGCTGGCAGGTCCTTATCTGAGACTCTATCAACCTGGCTGCCACCGTTTGCCTCACCCTAGAGGTCCCCTGAGAGTCTATTCCACCCAATTTACAGTCCCACCTAAGTTGTTAACAGAGGCTTTTCCATATGAATGGCTGATCTTGGGTCAGGATTCACAACTTCCTAAATCCTATCAAACAAGCAATAGCTGGCCCCAGGGAGCCCCAGGCCTGGCATTAGCAGCAGCCAGCCTGGATCCACAGCGTGGCTCCACCTGGGAATCTCCAAGCCCAGCACAAGTAGCAGCCATCTCCGATTGCTGAATAGCCCAGGCAGGGTGGCTCTAGGCAAAACACGGGTGGGGGCTGACCTTGGCCTGCACCACCTGGGAAACCCCAGAGCCTGCACACCCAGTGGGCAGCTACAGACCACGTCGGA